CATTCATCACTTTCCTGATGGACTCGAGTCGTCCTTTCAGAGGACAAAGGAATTGAGGGTGCAGAAGGACCAGGGGAGTTGGGACCTTACCAAGTGTCAATTTGCAAGGCATTAAGGGCGGTGAAAGAATTTGAGGGGGTGGGAAAGTATAGTTTTTCTTTAAAGCTACTAACTATTTACTAACAAATCGGTCGAACTTTGGTATATTAAAATATGCCACTTACACTTTTACACTTAAAAATCTTATATTCATCTAAAATTCAAAGTAAGGACTATAACCAAAGGATAATTACACATGTGGCAGACCTCAAGAGTGCGCTAAATGTTGTCACGCCAGATTATGTGGCTGTTTATCCCCCAGCAAATGGGTTAATTACAACACCCACTGTCCCTAAAACCCTTTTCATGTGGGAGCGAGGGCCACGCCCTAATGGGCTAATTCTAATTTAGCCAAGAATATGACATTATATGACTCGCAGAGACCTTATCTGCAACTCAATTTGCATTGAGAAATGTTGAACAATTATGAGGAAAATAAGTTTTGAAAGCCGAAAGAGCCGAAATGGAATTTTACCCATTCAAATTTGTAGGGGTACGTTTTTGAGTTGCTACTTGTTATTGCTTGTGTAATTGAGATTTCGCTCATTACAACTCTTTGGAAAAATTATAAAAGTACAGTGAAACCATTAAATCAGCCACCTGTGAGACATTACCCAGGAAAAAAAACCCCTAAAGAAAATTTGAATAGAAAAATCATAAAAATTTCAGCTTCGTACTTTTTTTTATCCTTTTACAAAGTGCAATTCAGGCGTTACGAATGGAATGCAAACGGGGGTGAAAAAAGTGGCGAAAGAGTTTGAGAGTTATAACTTTTAGAGAGCTTGGGCTAAAAGTTTTTCATATACTTGGTAGGTTGGTAAGATGATAAAGGGAATTAGTTAATCCTTGCTTTAGATGGCGGAAACGTGATGAAAATGATTTGACTTTTCTTAGAGGTCACATTTTTGTATGCTGTCTTTAAGAATTGCCACACAATCGAGTGGAACAGTTCAATTAGATTCGTTCTCGGCAGTCAAGTGTGGCCAAAAACAGAGGGAGAGTGCTGAGTGTGGCAAAGTGTTTGTGCTGGCCCCGGGGGAAATGCAGTGGTCAGCAGGCGAGGAAGGACTCGGGGAAGGACTCCAGTCCTCGCGAGGTCCAAGGTCCACAGAGGCAGCCGCAATGTTTACGCTGCGGTTCAGCTGACGACGACTCCTGGATGGATGGAAATGGGTGTGGAAATGTGGGTGGGGAGGTCGTTCAGCTGTCAGTTTTAATAGAGGCCGAACACTTCGATGGCGTTGACACGGCATGTCCCTCGGAGTCCTCACTTCTCCTCGAAACTCAGACCACAGACCTGGGATGGGACGCATGTGTGTGGCCTTAGACTCGGACGAATCGAATGCCCCGGGGAGCAGTTTCTAATGAAGGACAACAAAGTGGGAGGATTTCCATCAGATGACGGAGCCTGCTCATTTGGCCGAAATTTTGACGCTTTATGAGCGGTCCCTTTAGTGCTGAGTGTGCGCAAAAATGTAATTGAATGAATAGAATGCGCAATCGGAGTGGGAGAAGGTCAGTTGGCCGTAAAATGTTTGTCTTCCATTAGCAGGCCAAGATGCTTGAGTCAGAGAAACAAAATAATACTCGTGATAACTCCCTCACCGCCGCAATGGAGACGTCAGCTAATGTAGGCTCCCCAATAAAACCCTCGGCCAGACACATATGACAGCATTATGAGCTGCTGGGGAAAACCTTTTTCAAATATCCCAGGCATATATCTTCCTTCTTATTTTTGCTTAATTCGCGTGACTCGCGTGTCTCTCTGCATTTATTTTTTGTACCTCCTTTTTTTCGGCATTGTTTTCAGTCACGAATGCAAATTTCGGGTGGGGGGAGATTCGATTCGATCTGAGGTTGGGAAAATATCAAAAGCTCAAGTTACGGGCATCAAATATTTGTAATTTCTTCGAGGCAGGCGCCTCTGAGCCGAGGTCAAATTATCATGACAACTTATTTAGTTTTGGAGAGGAAGGGGGACTAGTATCCATGTCTTTGGCCCCTGGGCTTTCGACCTGCCTGCGGCGAAAACTTTCTGTACTCGCAAGTTTTCGCAGCTTAAAATGCTAATTAGCAGGCAGGTTCCTAGGGGTTTTTTGGCGTTAAAGTGGGTGAAAAGAGGGTCCCCACCACAAAAGGCAGGCAAAGTTGACAGCCACTCGGCACGTAGGATTACCATGCTCACACTTTTAAAAGCGATAAGGCATCCTGCAAAGGAGTCCTAAAACGGGTATGGTTGAGATGTAACGGAAGTGCAAAATATTTTAAAGATTTGGTGTTTGAAGTTGGATAGGTAATGAAATGAAACACAATTAAATTTGAGATTTCCTATCCGTATAGTGTGATATCTTTTCTTATAAGACTAGCTAGTTACGGCCGTTTCTCGAGTGTCTTTCAAAGTCATTGATAACAGACTGTCAAAAAAATTAATAGTTTCTCGATTTTAATTTGCCTTTAACTTTTGCTTATCTGAACGAAAAGCAAATACAAAGTGCTGTTAACCACAATTAATCTATAACACTGCGCTCATCGTTGTAGGTTTTATGAAATCAGTTTTCATTATAATCCATATAAAAGTAGATTGTTACTAAATCTGAAAACCCTTAATCCTTGGGTTTTTCTAAGCCGAATCATACAAACTAAGAGCCCTTAATTTTGCAACCCATCATTATCTGCTCAGGGGGCCGCCGCTCCTCATCAGTATGCCTGGCCAGATGTTTGGCAAATGTCCTGGAAACTCCCGATGAATTCACTCAGTTGACATTTGGGATTCCAATTGATTTCGCACTGGGCCTTCTACTTCCACTCTTTGTCTCAGATGTTTGCTTTGCTGATTTGCAAAGCGAAAGAAAAGAAAACACGGAAAATTCGCATGCGCTTGCCAAATGAAAATCCTTGTGGCAAAAATATTCAAATGTGCAATATTGACACTTGATTTGCATTTATAATGGCTACGTGATTTTCGTGTTGGTTCCGGTTGAGGATTAGATAAGTTAGCGGTTTCTTTTATCCCTGCCGAGGCTGTTCCGGATCCTTGGCCATATTTTCACCGTATCTCGGGAATCTCTCCTGCCAAATGTGTTAATTTCTCTACCCCGGTTGGGTGACCTGTTTTCTGTGTCCTTTCAATTCCAGCATATTGCGCATAAAAAATTGAACAACTTGGCCTCGGGTTGTTTTCACCATAAAATAATCTTTTTAAGCCGAAAACAAATTACAAATAAGAGGAACGACAACAAAGAGAGGGAGCGACGAGAAATACCCTCTATATAATTTGTTCCATTTTTTCTTCGGATGCTGCTTTGCATATTTTCCCTGGGCTGCGTGCTTCCCCTGTGTTTCGCTAACAAATTATAATGTATTGGAAATTGACAGAATTATGTAATGAATAGAAAATTATGCAAATTACAGCGCAGTTACATTTAATGGCACGACCTTTTCCATGGCCTCTTCATCGGGTCAGGATGCCGAACAGAAATCGAATTTTATTGGCAGCCCAGAAGAAGGTGAATCCTCTAGATGTTCGAAGGTGGAGAAGGGAACTTTTAAGGGTTTATGCTTTTTTAGAATGTCTGGAAAATAAAAGGACCACAAAGGGAATATTTCCCTAAAAGCAAAAGAAAAGAAAAGAAAAAGAAAAGAAATTAAAGCCATCAGAGAGAGTAAATATTACTTATAATAAAAAACAAACAGTTTCAAAGTGGATTTAATATAAACACGTTTGCAAATAAAATCATCACCTGAATTTGTTTTCCTAAATCTTTTTCTCCCCTTAAGAAGATGATGAAAAGCCTAGTTCATTAAAAGTCCTTTCAGTTTATCGGCGACTGGGGAGCAATAAGGAAAAGTTTCCCGCCCAGCTTATCGCAGGCATCGTTTTTCATATTCAAATACTTTTCTTTTTGCGGTAATTAATCATCCAGAAAAGGAAAAAAATTGTCTCGAGATAATGTCAACATAAATTGTTACGGCAATTTTCCACAATTTTCCTTGTATTATTTATGTGGCTTCTGTCGACTGTCTTTCTCGTGTGTTTTTCTCTCTTTTCCTCTTGGAAAAGCCGAATTTAAAGGTTGAGCTTGGAAAATTAGCCGGGTTGGCGAACTCAGGCTTCGGGGGGCATTCAGTTTGATGTGTTGACTTTGGCTCGTGGCCAGCGGGAAAAAAGACAGAAGGTTGGAGTTTGAAGGACGACTGAATGCGGCATTTAATGAGCCTGTCAGCAGTCAGCGACGCTCGCTTTACTCACTTCAGTTCACTAAACTGTGCAGGTCCAGGGGTGAATAGTCGGTGTATAAGGACCTGAACCCCGTACTCCTTTCCACCCCCTCGAGCTGTGGTCAGTTTAATCACAAAGTTTAATGAATAGCTTAAGGGTTGAGGCGAATGTGTCGCCCTGTCTGCCTCCAGTCGACTTCCTGTGCAGCTTATTGACAATCTCCAATCAGTCGGGTCAACTCATTTCCATAATCCAAATCGAAAACAATCTTAAATTAAGAGGATAGCTAAGAAAAGTAATTTCAGGGTACTTATTAAATATATAAAATATGTATCAAATAAGAGTACCTAAATATAAGAGATTATGTGGGAGGTGGGAGATGGGTCCAATATAAAAGCATTAAATTCTATAAGAAATAGAAGCACAAGTGAATTGTTAAAGTTTCAGAACATAAACTATTTGTTAAGCTAGAGTTCCAAGCGCCCTTTTTATATTTGTATACGTTTGCACACAATTATATTTTTGACACCCCTTTCTGGAACGGAGCTGAATAACTAATTGCCCCATTTCCCTCTTCGAGGACACCTTTCATCACTATTCCCTTACTTAGCCGTAATCTATTTAACCATCATCAGCCTCTTATTTTTCAACCGACTAAAAATTATGTAAATTCAATTTTCAGTTGGCTTCCGCTGTGGCACGCGATGTCGAGGACTAGGCCACGCCCATTTTGCCTTGCTGGTAAGTAAACATGTTATTATAATTGTTGAGCCCTCTGTTCTGGTCCTTCTGATTCAGATTCCTTTTCTGGTTCTGCTGGTGGTGGTTGATTCCCTCCTATCTGAGAGGGATTAACCCTCGAGGCGTAAACAAAATTATGTTTTCATTGTTCGCGCACTTGACACGCTTCGATTGTCGTTCCCTGGGACTGGGTGAGGATCACTTGAAGGTGAAGTTGAGGTTTTCTTGTCCATATACCCCCAGAAGGTAGGAGACAATCATAATAAATACTTGGGGATCCCATTAAATTGTATCAATATTTAAATTTTAAAAAATGTTCGCATTAGAGGGGTGGGGCAAAAAGGGCATGTTCCCAAGCTGTTCTTCAAGGGCCAAAAAACAACACATTACGTTTATTTGAATGTTGGGATTGTGTCGCCTTTCCAACTTTTATTTTCTTCCGTTCCTTGTAAGACAATTTCTTCTTCAGGATCTCTTCTTAGCACTGCCTTCTTCTCACTTGATCTGTATGTGATAAAAGATGTAAGATAAAGATCTGAATCATTTCGTGAAAAAGCTCGATTATATGAACAACAAGAAATATACATATATGTATAATATATTGTGAGAAATAAAGTCATTTAAAGTCATTTAAAGCACTCGCCTTTATATCTATTAGAGGTGGAGAAACATCGATTAAAAAATTAATGCATTGATTTCATGGCGACTACCGATGATGTTGCCACATTACAAAGTTAAAAACGTGTTTGTCAACACTTAAACCTGCATCAATATTTTAATTATCTACACAACTAGACCTAATTAATTAATTAATTTTCAATTCTGATAGAAATAATTTTTACAGAGGCCTTAACAGTGGTTTTTGTCTAGGATACTCTCCAATCTTAGAGACTTTTAAAAATTTGTTGCAACATGTTTCTGCAACATGTAACCGGTCTCCAAAGAAAGGGGAAATGTGTATAGTATATTTGTCCCACTCGCACTTTAAGGGGCGTGGCCAAAAGTATATATATACTATTTTTATCTTGGGGATTATGTACTTGTAGGTGGTGATTCTTTGTTCAGGTCAACTTTGCACTGCGTTTCATTTAGCAAAGATCCATCAACGTCAACGGACGTTCCACAGATTGAGGATGTTCAATGGATGGCAAACAGGATATCAAAGTTAGACGGGAGTAGCAAATATAACGAATAATAAATGAAACTTCCCAGAAAACCAATTCAAGAATTTCAAACTAAGCCTTAATGATTGTTCAAATAACTTACCGCATACGTAGTAAAACATTCAACTAAAATTACAGTTTTTAATTGCAAAATCACACCCATAGGAGATTATACTTATTATTTTAAAGTCTAGAAACTTTGGTATTAGATTTTGTGAGATTTTTGGGAGAACTGCAAGCAACAAATATTATAAACCCATATTCATCGAGTCTGTTTTATTGCTCTGAAGTGCTAACAGTTAGAGGTATTCCAGCGGGAGTCAAGGACACTTTGAGGACTAGGGAGACGTGGGATCTGGTGAAACACCGGGCTCGACCCTAGCAGCTGGAGCATCCTCTTCAACGGGCTCCTCCAGTTTGGTCGAAGTGATGCTCTGGTCACTGGGGGAAAAGGGTATGATGGACGCCCTCACGGAGGGCGAGACGGGGATGGGCTGGAAGATGAAGAGGTGGACATTCTCGCTGACCTTGATGCGGGCTGGCTCCATGGAACCCACCTCCTGCTGCTCAATCTCCAGGGGCTTGGACTGCAGCGAGAAGCGGTGCCGGTAGAAGCTGGAGTCCCGTCTCTCGGCCGGGATCATCGACTGTGTCCGGGACTTGGTTTCCGCCATCCGCAGTTGCGACTCCTCCGCCAGCATGCTCAGCGTGGGCGAGAGCATCTGGGACTGTCGCTTCTCACGCACCAGTTCCCGCCAGTCCAGTGCCACCTGCTTCACGTAAGCGAAGTTGCTCTCGTCCGCCAAAGCCATGGCGAAGTCTTATTTCTTCAGGTCCTTCTCAGTGGAGTCCAGGTGGTCCCGTGTCAGCCCCTATTTGTTACCCTTTTCCGCTGATTCCTAGAGCATTTTTTTATAAAGACTCGATTTTTGGGTTAGTTTGTTTTTGACTGGGCTAGACCATTTTTTGTTACTTCTGTGAGAAAAGATTTTCGAAAAATAAATTGCATTTGTGTGTTATTTATTCGACATTCCAAGCCTACTAAATATTAAACTATATTAAATATCGTATTTCCTGTAATTTGCTTACATCCATAACTTAAACCTGCTCCTATGCCCTCTTAGACTTACTTATTATTTAAATTTGTTTAAATTAATTCGTTTTTTATTTTCTTTTCGTTCTAGATCCAACGCCTATGGTTATAAAGATGGCAACGAATAAAGACGATGGCCCTGAAGAGTTCTATTCTGCGGCTTAAAAATATCATTACGGCTTTAACAAAATTATATTTCATAATTCCTATAATATATCAACAATAAAAAATGTATTATTGTAATACTCCCTATGTTTCATTTGTTTTTATAATTTGCGTGGTTAAACAAGAAGCTTAATATTTAGTTTTGTAGCATACTTTTGGGGGCTTTCAGTTTGGATGAAAAAGTATTGCATACTTTTGGGCTTCGTTTGTGAGGCAGCCATCTTGAAAAAAACAGCTGATCGCCAAGCACTTGCTAAAGCTTTAGTTACTTTCTGCGATTTATGTTCGCCTGGTACTTCCAACTCGGGAATCGGTGAGTTTACCTGGCTTTTTGGGTATGACAGCCATCTTGAGGAAACAGATGATCGGCTCTAATCTACTTTCTGCGTTTTCTGTTCGCCTGGTATGTTTGATTCAGGAATCTGTTGGTTTACCTTTTTTTTTTAATCAAAAGTACCAGGCGAACAGAAAACATAGTAAGCTGATTTAAGCAAAACTTAGCCGATCAGCTGTTTGATCTCTGATGACTGTCATACCCAAAAGTGAAAGTAAGCCCAACGATTTCCAAAATGAGTACCAGGCAAACAGAAATCGCAGAAAGTAACCAGAGCACGTAGCATGTATTTGGCGAACAGCTGTTCGTTTTTAAGATGGCTGTCATACCAAAAACCAAGGTAAATCCACCGATTCCCAAATCAAAAGTACCAGGCGAACAGAAAACTCAGAAAGAAGATTTTAGCAAATATTTAACCGATCAGCTGTTCTTTCTCAAGATGGCTGTCAACCCAAAAGTCAAAGTAAACCCAACGATTCCCAAAATGAGTACCAGGCGAACATAAATCGCAGAAAGTAACTAGAGCTTTAGCAAGTGCTTGGCGATCAGCTGTTTTTTTCAAGATGGCTGCCACACAAACGAACAGCGAGCTTCTGTCAGTGAGCGCCATTTAGAAACGAAGCCGAAAAGTATGCAATAATTTTTTATCCAAACTGAAAGCCCCCAAAATTATGCTACAAAATGCTGAAATTGGAATAAAACAGATTTTTCTTTTTAATACATTTCCTTTTATTTTTTTTGTTGTGTATAAATGATGTTTTACTGATTTGTTTTTACTGCCAAGTGAAAGTTTTGAAAACGCACAAAGTATATAAACCTTACAAGTATATTACAACGATCATCTGCCAGGAGTGGGTAAATCATAAACTAAGTCTAGGAATTCCAAACACGAACCTAAGAGATAATTTCTAGTTTCTTTTTTTTGTTGAATTTTTCGGCTTGCAAAATAAGTTTAAGGTTTATCCTATTAATATAATAGACATAAAACGTATGATGTGTGTGGTTCTGAAGAGTCGTTGTCTTCGCACTGATTGTGTATAGTTGCGTTGCGTATAAAAATATAAACTCTGATTCTCAATCTCTGTTTTGGTGAGCTTCATCCGATAACTCCCGTAGTGCGGTTGGCTTTTAGCTTCTGTTTGCTTCGTTGCCTTGGATTGATACTCTCATTTGGATTCCCCTCCGGATCCTTTGTCATCTGCTCCTTTTGATAGCTCCTCGTTCACAGTTCGCATTTGTAGGCACTTTAGTGTTTTTCAAACAAAAAAGTATACAATAACGACTCTCAATTGATCATTCTCATTCGTATAAATATTTACTGGGTGGGGATCCTGATCCTCCCGTTTGTTCCTCCTTATGCGGCAGTTTTCAGGTGGCTTTTCAATCGCCTAAGTACATCTTCAATGCGTTCAATCGAACTGCAACCTAAACTCGTAGGAAATTAACCGAAATAACAAATATATCCTTACTATAAATTGCGTTCATTTCGCGCTCGCTACCTAAATTAGACATATAAAATTGGGCTGCCTCTGGGTGTCGCACCTTTCGGAGGAGAGCGCTCTGTTTGCCTTATAAAACCTCGAGCGCGGGAGACGCGCGCCAAAAGCGAGCTGAGTAGCTCTGCCAAGTGGCGGTTAACTCTCTGGTTAACTCTAGTTACAGCTGTTAAATGCCTTAACATAACGTAACGGTAACCTACAACGATGTGAGCGGCCTGCTAAATGGGCTAAAGTCGCTTTCTGTCCTCAAATCGGAGGTGGTCCGCGGATATAGCGCAGCTGGGGCGTGAAGCTCATGGACAGGTTGTTCAGATTGTCGCAGCAATTGGGCTGCATCAGACAGGCGGCGCAGAAGATGGTGAACAGGGCCACCTGCATGGGCACAGCCGCCCTCGCGATGCGCCACGCCCACCCGCGCTTGGAGGCCTGCGTGGGATCCGCTTCCTCGGCATCTTCCTCGGAGCTTTCCAAGTTGAATAGCAGCGAGGGATCATCGGAGGGGTCGTCGCCTCCATCGCCACTTGCCAGACTCTTGAGCTGCTTCAGTACAAGTTTCTGCTGTTCTGGGCTGAGCTTCTGCTCCTCTTCGACTTGTTGATCGTCTCCTGCGTTCTTTGCCTGACGCGCCTTTCTTCCTGCTTTTCCGCGTTTACCAGGCGACTGTGGTTGCCCTCCGTTGCCTTTCCCAGCCTGCTTCTTTACCTGTCCATTGGCCTTGGGTGAAACCGGATGGCCCTGACTCTGCTGGATCTGCTGCTTCTGCTGGTGGCTGGCTGCCGTGCGCACAATCAAATCCCTGCAGGTATTCTGCAGGTGCTTCAGCTCGGCCTCGGCACTCTCCATTCGGGCGGCAATAGAACGCATGGCTTCGCTGCCCGGCGCCAGAGCCAGTTCCAACTGCTTGGCAAGACGTCGAAGGACACCCAAGCGTCGCTCCCTCTCGGATAGTCCACCATCTGAGGTGGCACCTCCGTCGGAGATTCCAGAATCCGAGAGCGAACCATTCGAGGCCGTGAACTTGGCGATGTGGTAGATTTGATTGGGATCCAAGTGCTGTTGCACGGCCAGAAGCTGCTCCTGGCTGACATGGACCTTTTCGGACAGCAGCTTGGCCACCAGCTTGACGTTCTGGGCCAGCTCCACAGGCGTGGCTTGCCCCTTGTCCAGTGCTCCCTCCAGACCCTTCAGGGTGCCCCTATCCTGACCCAAGGCCAAGTGGAACTCACTCAGACCAGACTCCAACTGCCGCCAGGCAATCAACGAGTTGGTGAGCATCTCCAGTTGCGTGTTGATTCTGTGGATTAGGGGAAACCTTGGGTTAGAAGTGACCATGCAAGAGATCTTGGAGGTAAACTCACCTGGCATCCGCCTCATCCCAGGCGCTGTACATGTCGCTCACTTCGTTTTTGAGGTGCTTGTGGAACTCCTGCTCCGCGGACATCAGCGAGTGCACATCCCAGGCTGGCGTGGAGGTGGAGGCTTCTCCTGTGGCCAGAGCCTCCACTTGGTTGCCATTGCTGTCGGTGACCGTGATGGCCACTGCTCCGCTGCAGGCCAGGTCCTTCTTCTCCTCCTTCGGTTTCTCTTCCTGCTTGAGTTGTTCGGACTCCTGTTGCTGCTCCTGCTCCTCCAAGGCGCTCTGCAGACGCCTCTCCTGCCTGGTAAGCCAGCTGTGGACGGAGGCGTTGAGGCGCAGCATGTTGGTCCTGTAGCTGGCCAGCTGGGACTGCTCCAACTAGGGGGTTAACCAAGGATTAGTAATAGTCAAAAAGAGCCCTTTTAGATTCCACACTCACCTTGAGAGCCTCCACGGCGATTTGGATGGCGGGCTCCGTGTCCAGGAGCTCCGGCGTGGGCTTGTCCCCCAGTCGCTGCAGCGAGTGCTTGAGCACGCTCATCTCCTGCTGCAACTTGCGGGCAGCCGAGGCATTCTCGCTCCAGCCGAGCAGATCCTCCCAGGCGGCGAGCAGATCTGCGGGAGAAGATCAGAAGCGGGTACCGTGAGGATAATGTGGTCTGTTAGATGGAGTTTACAGAGTTAAATGGTGCACGAGAGAAAGGCAATTTAATTGGGCGCTGGCAATCTCATTTCCATTTATAGTACGCTTCCATTTCCACTTTGCTGCGAGAGCCCTTGGTAATGAATACCTTTCTCTAAACGCTGGAAAATTGCAGCGGAAAGTGAAACTCTGGGCCGGCAAAAGGAAAATCAAAGTCAACAAATATAAAAAAGGAAAAAACGAAAAGCTGCCTTAGCCGCAGCAGTTAAGACTTTGCAAACGCTTTGCGGTTGTGGGTGCCAGAGACAAAGTTTTCTAATTGAAATTGTTTGGCTTGAACGGTTCGCCCTGAATTTGTTGTATGCAGTTACCCCACTCTTTCTACCATTTCCGCTGGGTTTGTAGAATTGTTTTGTGGCATTGATTCTGCATTGAACGTTGGGCGGACTGGAACCAGAACCAAGAGTTCGGTGTCAACCCTATAGCGAACAAAAGAGCACATAGCAAAAAAATATATATCTGTTCAGTCACGACTTTGGGATACCCATTACAAACAAACAAATTTTAAATACTACTTTGATGTTTTCATAGTAAGTTTGTTAAGTATCATTTATACAATGGTGTTACTTCGATTTCCTGTATATAATTTAATTTTTCCGCTCCTAATTAAATTCAAAACAATTCATAGTTGTTCTTTTCCTTAGTAAACAAAGTGATATTTTCTGCTTTTTTCACAAATCCTCACAATTGTGTCTTAGACATTTTTGGGAGCCATTAAATATTTTTGTAGAGTTTGATAGAACTCATATTACATACTCAAGTCAATATAAATAAAAGACTCACCCCAGCTGGAGTACACTCTTATGCAATTACGCTTTGAAAGGGGCTTCAAGGGCTCTACTTCTTTGTGATCTACAAAACGAAAATCCAAGTATCTGCGACAAGTGCGTGTGTCCCGGTTGGGTAATAAAAACGCAATGCGTAATGTGAGTTTTGCACAAATTACTTTCACCTTGGGGCTGGCCAAAAACGGTGTTTTTCCCTGCTTTTTTGCGATTCCCCTAGTGATAAAGGCCAGTGGAAGATAAAACGCACTCGCGGTGAAGAAAAATAAACCCAACCGATCCGAACTTGTTGGCAGCCAAACCGAAACTGGTTGAGTGAACTTCAGTGCAGCTGCAACGGAGCTCGAAGCCCGGCTTGGATCCCCATGGGTTCCACCAAGTGGGCGGAGGATGGGGAGTTTGCAGCCCACAAGAGCAAGTCGAGCGCAACCAAGGCGATCGCATTAGCGGACTGAAACAAGGGGGTTTTTCAGAGGGTTCGAGATGGTTGTTAGCGCCGATCCTAACTTTACACAAGGGAAAAAATAAAGAACTGATATGAAAATTTCCTATTTAATGTATTTTCCGATGTGGATTGTAAAGAAGATAGTATTCTTGAAATAAGTATTCAATATCTTAAACCTAGCATTATATCCATATAACGGACTTTATTATAGAACTGATATAAAACATCCCTATTTAATGTATTTTCCGGTGTGGATTTTAAAGAAGATTTTTGAATGTATAATCTTGATTACTTTTTTATATACAAGGATGGATTTAAACTAGAATTTCTTTTCAGTGCAGCTCAATCATACGCACTTTGGTTGTGCGTTACACAATCTGGTTGGAAATCAGTCGACGTTGCAAGTTCGAGTTTAGAGTTGATGCCGCTTTTCGCAGATTACTTTGGATCGCATTTTGATTGGAGCTGCAGATTGGAGTTGGAGTTGGAGATGGAGTTGGGGTCGGACTCCACCTGCTTTCCGGCAGATATTGAATAATCTTCGCTAGATAGCTCCTCGACAGCGGCAAAAAGTGCAAAAAATTGCACATAAAATTGATTAGCCATTAACTTAGCTAAGTGAGACAGAGATTACTGGCCCGCGAAAGACTTTCTCTTTGCGCTAATCAATCTGCATGAATCGTTCATATTCAAGCGGTTGGAAATAATTATAATTAATCCCGAAGACAAGCCTAAACCAACTAACTTAGTGCAGAAATATGTTTATTTCTCCACTTCATAAATTTTAAGCTTCTTTTTGCTGACATGCAGATTGGCCTGCGTGCTGTTTTTGTATTATTTGCAATGCATTTCGTCACGATAGCTGAAATGCAAATAGCAGACGAAAACTGAAAAAAATGCAAAAACCGCAGAGGGGAGGAGGACTGATGTTTTGGCCAAGGTCGTTGGCCACAATTGTTGGACGCAATGTGAGAATATCCATTTTACGTGGGAGGTGCTCGAGGTGTCGCCATCAGCGAGAGAGAACATATCGGGCAGTAAATAGTGCAGTCTAACAAAAGTGAGCAGTACGTCTATGAGCTCATTTCAAAAGCAATTATAATAAAAACTGAGAAGGGTTTATTTAGAATATAGTGGGGGTCTGTGGTTAGAATTTCTGAGTTAGAGAGCAGGAACATATCATTCCTTCAATCCAAAAGTAAACGACCAATGCCTACCTCAATTTAATTAAGTATTCCTTCCTTGATTTCATCCAGGATACGGATACACCCGAAGGAGTGGCGTGCCAAAGGGCTATAAACAAGAACCCCTATTCGAAGAAAAGGGTGTGTTCTAGTTACCTTCACGAAAACACCCATAGGTATCTTCATCCCCCGAAATGGAAAAACATATTTTTATAGATAAAGCACAAATCGAGGCAAATGAGGTAAGCTGCCGCCAAATAAAAAACTGCCTGACCTAAGGCAAAGCTCAAAATATTTGCCAAATTAATCTTGAATAATTTTATATATGTAAGTGTGCGAGCATATCTGTGTGGCAGCAGAGTCAACAATTATAGACAATTAGCAAAAAATATAGAAATAACAACGTCGTTGGATATTTTTAAATGCTGATTAGAGAGCGGCAGAGAACCAAACAAAATTACCACAGAGATGCTACAAACATGTTGAAAATGTGAACGGAGTACTGGGTATGAGGTTTCTGCATGAATGAAGTAATAAATCTACCGAATCAAGCAGGAAATCTACAAACGGAAATCGCCAAAGAAATGTAAATGGGTTTGCAATTGCAAATGGATACAGCTTGTTACCACTTCTCTGCGGTTCAATGCCCTCCAGGAAAACGCATTGAACCACTTAAACTAACCGCACTTAAACTGGCAACCTAAACAAAATCACGTCTATAACTCTAATCAAGCGAAGGTCAACCACAAATGGGGCAGCCGATCCATAATTAATGATATATCGAATGACAACTGGGAACTTGAACTTGGGCAGCAGAAAAGCGGAGAAGCAGAAAAAGTTATGAGGTAATTGAGGCAACCGGTTCCGGCTTTCCTCACTCCAAAACGAAAACAATCTTGGAAAACTTCAAAGGCGAATGCCACCATAAAACAGTGTTCACTATAGGAGTGTTCACTGTTCTGCATTTACCGTTAATTAGCGGGTCGACGAGGGGCAGCGGTGCATGAAGTGCACGGAATGGTACAGTAAGCACCGGCTAAACCCTAATTAGCGAGCCAAGTGTCTGATGGACGGGGCAGTCGATGTAGTGGCCAACCCGATTTGGCAGCTTGAGGATCAAAGTCGGTCAATGGGTCTGGCAGAATCGAGTGGAAGAATCCGCCAGAAGAACCACTGGCAATTCTTTATGTGAGTTGCGGTAAGAATAGCGCAATCGCTAGCGGATCTGTCGGTTGGAGGAGACCATCAAGCACTCAAGTGGCGGATTTATGATATGGAACACTGTTGTGCTGCTTCTTGGGTTCTTTAAGATGATGGCTTCCAAATGTGGCAATCGACATAAAAAGCCAATTGCTTCAACTGATTTTCGGAACCCAATAATACAAATCATATACCTATTGAACTGATTCCTTTTAAGATTTAATTATTTGGAATTATCTTTCAATATTCCACTAATTGACCTCAAGCCCTTTCCCTTTGAGCCACTTACCATACCACGAACTTATCAAATCGACCACTTTAGAGTGAGTTCCTAATGCTATGCTTAAATTTCTCCGAATACCAACGGAATCTTTGGGTGTAATCTTCCCTCACTCCACTAAATGGCTGCTTAGTCACCTGCTTACTGGGCCCTACTATCTTCTCCAAACGGTTTTCTCTTATTTTCCCCTTGTGACTGAAGTTGCTCTGCTCGTTTCACTCTTATCTTACGTGCGATCTGTACCTAGTAGTGCCCCTCGTTTACACCTGTTTCCCAATTATGTTTACCCCACCATCATCTTAGTACACTTGGCTATATCTTTCTTTGGAATGTGTTTGCTCCAAGTGTTTACCTTGTTCCGATGACGAGCGCGATGTGTTGGTGGAAGAAGTGGCCGAAAGCATTTCGGATATATCCGTCTGGACGGCCACGCTGACTTTCCCCATTGTGGTTTGGGTTTTGGTTTCGCTTTCGGAGTTTTCCCCTGGCAACCCTCGGCGGGAAAAGCTCTCTTCAACCCCCAAGTGACCCACTTTCGTATGATGCGCCACTTGAAATCAATTTTCGTAATCAATTTGTGTTTCAAAGCATTTCAATTCCGCTTTTCGAAGCACACAGAACACCAGATTATGGGAATTTCCCCAGTAGTTTAAGCAAAACTGCATTGAAGTTGGGAAAACTACCGCAATTTTCGCGAAACTCTTATAACAACCAGGAACTCTTATACGAAAGGCAAAAAAGCACGCGACTTTTGGTTTTATGAATGGGAAACATCCAAGTGGGATTGTTTGGATGGGCTTAAGTAACTTTGCGCAGCTTAGTTATGTTTTTATCACAGTTATTTTTGGCGGAATTATGCGAGATTCAGTTAGATTATTTCACACAGTTTCGCGGAAGCACGTTAAAGATTTATTATAGACGGGAAACAGAGAACAACCGCTTGGAACGCGCGCAGAAATTGAACTGAGAGGTGTGGAGAGTCGAACCAAAAGGCAGAGACAGCTGAGAGCCGAGAAAAAGGGGGAGCAAATGCGAGAAACAGAGAGTCAGAGGGCAAAAGCAACGTGCTCGCTTAGCACAGTTACACCAAGTTGTGCCCCTGGTTTTTATTTGTTTTCAAAACAGCAGTTTCTACACTCAAAAAATATAATTTTCTAAACTTTTTTGAATTTTTTTTTCAGTAATCTAATGTAAGATTTAACAAAACTACCTAATCATTCTCACAGGTTATTATAAATATATTTATTTTCGAAAATTATATTTATGAAAATAATATATTTGATCAACGGCAACAGGGCGTATGAGTGATCAACTTTGAAGCCAAAGCGCAAACACTAAAACGCCCTTTTTGCGCATCGTATAGGTAATTTGGAGCATGACCTTAATAAATTCCACACAGATCAGTTAAAAATGTGAAAAATAAAATATTTTTCCAAATAAGAGTAGGTTTAAATATTTTTCAGTGTACTAAAAACAGAGAAGCTAGCACGCAAACATCCCAAAGAGACAACATTTGAACTTGGTTTCGTCACACGCAATCTCTAAAAACAATATACATTTATAGAAGTGTAAAGGTCTGAGAGCCCTCTCATTGGATTCGGCAGCTCAAGCGAGAACAAAGGCCAAAAAAAAACAATGGCACAAGTCCATAATTCCGAAGGCGACGTCACTTTTTTCTAACGCAACCAACAAAAATTCGAAAACCAGACACCAAAGCTTTAGAGGCGATGACGACAGTCCAAAACTCAAAAGCAGAAGCTACAGTTTAACAAGCACATACATATATCTTAAGCCAAAGCGCTACCTAGCGAATTCTAAATGAACCACATGAAGTCTCAGTTTAAAGAGTTAAAGCTTCAGTTTTGCAAGCATTGTGACACGTTACAAAACAAATCCTTCTGCATATACCCACAATTTTTAGAACCTACCCTCGCTCTCATATAAATTAATTTTCCACCCAGTCATTACATTTGTTTATAAATATTCGCAGCGGGCGTCTGACGTCAGCGGGCGAAAATAAATTTGCTCTTTTTGGGGGTCAGAATAAAGCAGCTGGCTAACAAATACCCAAATCCCTTAAAGTGAATTAGGCAGATTTATGGATAGCCGGAATAAACTTCAAAGAATTTGGAAAATTTTTAAACAATTTAAATGTTTAACGGGTAACAAGAGGCTATTATAGTTTTAGAGCTTTAGTGCTTTTAAAACTTTAGCACAGACGCAAACCTTTATGGAAAATAACGAAAATTGCCAGTTCATAATCCTCATAGCAATCCATAAGTTAAATGTGAATTAGATATTAATCGACTGAAAAAAATCAGTTATTAATAATGAAATTCTTATTACTAACAGCTTAAACTACATTACTAATATTTTCTCAAGATCTCTTTGAGAGCACCTGAGACTTGAGCACACCATTACCGCTTCGGGGTAGGGTTCGGGATCGATGTTAGTGCTAGACTACACGATGATCTCAATAACTAAACTCAAAGCAATCTAAACACGACAGTTATGGATGATTGTTAAATTAATTTTGTTAATACATTTGACAAACACACAGGCATTAGCAGCATTACGTGGAGTTAGCAATACGGATGACAGAATGACAGAACACCAAAATAAAAACTAAATTAGGGATAGTTCACAGGACAAACGGATACAAACGCAAGTTGAGAATTATAACAATTTTAGTTTTGCTTTTGGTGTGTAGATTTTATTGCCAAAAAAATAAAGAACAAATGCGCAAGAAGAAAAAATGGAAAGAACAAGTAAAATAAAATTATTTAAAATAATAATAAAATAGAACAGAAAGCGAATAAAGTTGAGGATAAGTGTAAATTCGATGCGAAATGCGTTTTGTCAAATGCAAGAACAAACTCTCTTCAAATCATACATCATATGCACTATCGTATACAGTGTGTTTAAAGATCTATTATTTGTACAGCGATCAAAGGCATCCGGATAATACATGCTTAAAGCTCGGCTTTGGGGGCATCTGTTTTAAATATGTTATCTGCGATATGTTTACAACAATCCCCGCAGGCCGCCGAAGAAGCGCCCAAGGCGTCCGCCCACGGGCCGGTTCACCAGCTCGTAGAGCGACCTCAGCGTTCCCGCCAGGAACCGGTAGAGCGCAAAGTGCTCCAGCATGTTGCCCACGTCCAGCACGAACTCGATCACCCGTGCCACGAAGCGCGTAATGGGTGCACATTGGCACTGGGCCACCCTGGGCATCACTGGCTGCCCGGAATTCCCGGATGCCCCGGTTTCACCGTGGGTATCCGTGGGCCTGGACAGCTCAGTCTCTGGCCGCTGCCGTCGGCGCCGGCGGAGACCGGCTGATGCAAATGATGATGATGGATTGCGTGGAGGTGGTGGAGGCTGGAACTCACCTTTTGTCTGGCCAGCGCAGTGGTTGGACAGCACGGTGCCGGGCGGACCGCGCAGAACGGCCTCCAAGCATCGGATGTTGTCGCGGCAAGTGTTGATGATCTCGTTCTGGTTGGGGATTACGATTTAAATGGCATTAGAAGGTCATTCCCCTTACCAGTAGTGGTTAAACTTACGTAATCCTCTGGTCTAAGCAGATGGCACCTGATCTTCAGGGCCCTTGTATCGTCTAGCCTGTCGCGGCTTTGCTGCAGCAGGGATCGCATCTCCTGCTCTCCGTCCTCGGAGTCCGATCCGCTCGAGGAGGAAGTGGTGGCCGGAATCAGCTTTATGCTCTTCTCCAGGTTGCGGGAGGAGCGTCTTCTCTCGTCCGCCGTCACAGTGCGGCGCCTCCTGGTCGAGGTATCGCTCTCCGAGGTGCGACGCAGCAGCGACTGGGCCGAGTGGCTCATTCCGCCGAACTCCAACTTGCGACCCACGGACTCTGTGCGATGGCTGAGCTGCTGGCCGATGGACTGATTCTTGGGCGTGGTCATCAGTGCGGTGGCGGAGGCAGACAGCGAAGGCTGGGTCTGCAATTGCTGCGGCTGCTGCTCCTTCTGGCTGTTGGCCACTGGGATTTCATCCATGTCTGGGGAGGGAGAATAGCTTATAATACCGTACAAGTAATGTGGATTTGGGCTCCTCACCTTGACAGGACTTGCGTCGGACTTCCAGGGTCTTGCGACGGCGCTCGTACTGCAGTTCAAGGGCGCGCTGGCGGCGGGCGTGGTCCACGCTGCTGGTAATCGTGTCCTGGTTGATGTGTAGGGTCTTCAGCTCGTGCTTCTGCAGCGAATCCATGCGCGGTGGCGAGAACGAGTCCAGATTGTTGGCCGCCGACAGGGAACTGCAGCAGTCCGACTGCGAGTCGATAAAATTGCTGCGAAATGGGTTTTATTTTGATTTTGAGCGGTTATAAATAACTCTTGGCACGGCCTCAAAGGTCGCCCTCATCATTATTTTTGCAACACTCACCGATAGTCGTCGCCGAATTCCAAGAGACGACGGGCCGCATCCGAATCGAAGCCCTCGGAATAGTTCTCCGAGTTGTATTTCTCTTGGTAGTTGTCCCAGGCCGTCTCCGAGATGCTGCTGTGATGGTCCTCGGTGCTAAGTTCTGTGGGGGAATAAGCCGAATTAATAATTTATAATAATTATAAGATTTGGAAAGAGTAAGGATTGATTTCTGGGTAAAGAATAATGAAAGAATTTGAAAAACCGGAAGTTAAAAACCCTTTCTAAGTTTTAAAAGGGAAAAATAAACGTATCTAGGGAACAATTTTTGAACGTGTTCTATAATTAAACGGAATGGATCGTTTTCAGTGGGGTAGGTGCATTGACAATACCTTTGAGCCTGGTCTGAACCGGCTTGGGTGCTTGTGTAAGAAAACAGATAGATAGAGTTGTCCTTAACTTTAAGAGACCCCTTAGGGAACACCACCACTCACCTGCTTGCTGCTCGTCCTCGTTCATGTAGTTCGAGAGGGCTGCTAGAGCTCCCAATCTCGTTTCACTGGCCAAGAGGCCAGCTGTGGTGAAGGATCCAACCCGGAATTTGGGTAGCATCAGCGGGGTTTCACCTGCCTCGCCCTCGGCCAGCAGAGTTACCCCTGAAACCTCTCCCTTGGGACTCAGTGGGGCAATAGCTGCTCCCTTTTGGATGCTCAGCAGGGCATTTGTGAACTCCTGCAGTTGCTGCGAGGACATCGACTCGCAGGACTTCATCAGTGTCTGGGTGAGATCCCCACCCAGTTCGGAACCTGAATCTGATTTCCTGCCAGCCGAAGCGGCCGAAATGCGCTTCTTTCTGGCCTTCCTCCTCCTCAGGGATCCCTTGCTGTCCGCCTTCCTGGCCGCATTGCTTCCCGTTCCCGAGGAAGAAGCGGCCCGCGGCCTTGGTCCCGGAGAGAGCGAGTCTAGGGCGCTCTCGCTGATCGAATGACTGGCCAATCCGGGCGGTGAGTTCTCCACTATCCGGGCCTTGGTCAACTGGGCTGCATCCGTGGTCAACTGGGACAGACACGAAACAGACCACGGTCTCTCCGACTTGCGGCGCGTCTGCGGTCGCTTCACAATCTTCACATTCAGGCTCTGGTTGCTGCTGCCAAATCCCAAAGGAGTGACTGGCTGACCAATGGGCTCGGCAGACCCACCGATTCTCTCCGTGGAATTCCCGTAGGAATTCGTGCTCGTTTGCATACAGGTGGCAATGGAATCGGTGAAGCCCTCCGAAGTATCCGATCCCGCCCCTCCGTTGGGTGCTCCTCCCGCCACTCCTGTTCCCGCTTGAGGCACCGAGTCCGTCTCGGAGGCCTCTCCAGATGCCTCGCAGTCATCGGGCTTGCAGCTTGGCAGGAGTTCATGCGTGTGGCTGCGGGTCAGCAGCTGTGGGGTCGAGGGCTGGTGCTCCAGCCATTCCTAGGGGGAAATTCAAAAATGATGGGTTAATATAGGTAAATATACGAACTGGGTAACATACAATAAATAAACTCCCTATATCATTTTAAACTTTTACTTTTTTTTGATAAAAGTTATGTTAATGCTATTCCTTTTTCAAATATATCATATATATAAAGGAGTCTTATTAAAATCCCTTAGGAGGGATCTGGGTTACGAAAGGACTGACTCACCTCCACTCGCTGCTTGATGGGATGCGACATGGTGACCTCGCGCTTCTTGACCGTCGACGAGATCTTAATGATGGAATGTTTCTGCTTGGTTGGCGTCTTCAGTGCGGCCTCTTGGGCGTCGCGCACCAAATGCTCGGCTTCCAGCACCAACTGCTTGATTGAATCATGCGAGACCTTGCCCTGGAGAAAAAAAGAGAGAAAAGGCGGAGAATGTGAGAGGCGAACGGGGGAAATTTGTTTAGAGAGCGGAAATTAATGAGCGTGCCCAATCGGAGTTGCAAGCCTCAGGCGGCTGATTCAGTAAAGTCGTAAAGATGACTAAGTACAGTCCAACTTTCCTAAAAATATTGGTATAATCTAGACACTATGCCTCTAATAATATTTTATTAATTTTGCGACTCAAATTAAAACTTCGAGATCTTCCAAAATACTTTCAGATTTCAAGAATATTAAAACAACCACAAGTAACCAAAACTAGAGTGCATATCCGAAGCTCCACTGTAAGACCCACGAAATAGGAAATGCACAGCGCAAGAGAGTAGAAATCTTATCAGCAAAGAGGGAAATACTGCGTAAAGCTGCGAAAGTGGTGGGAATGCTTTTTCCTTATCGCTGAGAACTCAGTCTCCCACCGCTTATCGCTATTTGTCACCCATTTTCAGTGCACTTCAACGTCATTATTGTCGAGTGGATTTCAATGGATTGGAGTGCAGAGGGTGTGGGGACTTCAGTTTGCCATATATAAACATGCCTATACACTTTTGTTCTTATCTAGTGCTGTTTATTTCGCTGCCTTTCCCCCGCACCTCACCATTAGTTTTTTGCACAACTCATCAATCAAGTAAGTGGGTTGCTCACGAGGAAATTTTGTATATGAAAGGCCTTTTGTATGACAGAAGAAATTATTTTTGTAATGCCCTAAACAATCTTGTTGAACAAGTATTAGCATTGGGGTATTATATTTCTTTGAAATTCTGATATTACCTTTTGCACAATAATATGTATTTTAGGAATTTATCTATACGAAAAAGGGTTGAGACTTCCTTAAACAGAAATCATTCGCTTAGATTTGTTTAAAAAAAGAACCAAACCAACTGATAATGTGACCGAATTAGAATTTGGTTGCTTTACATGATTTCTTGTTGACACAAATGCAAAGCATTGAAGCATGGCTAATTATTCCAGAGCAATTACGAAATCTGTTCTGTTTTTTTTTGGACTTATTTTGTTTTTCCCTGGTCAATTGAACAATTTGAAGGTCTTTTTTATACCGTTTCGACAGATGTCGCGCACTGTATTTTGTATATTTTGCCGTCTTCCCTCTTGTAGATGTATCTTTATCGCAACTCAAGTCCGAAACTCACTCTAGCCGTCAGTGGACGGTTAATCTTTGGCTTAATTTAATTAACAACTTCCTGCGGTGAGTGAGGCACGCGATCGGAGGCAGGGCAGTTTGAGAGCGACTGCTGCCAAAACGGAAACCATTTTCTAATGCCAAGTGAAAAGCGGCGTTTACGTTCACGGTTTGCAGCTTACAATGTCCAACTTACAGTTACGGCTAGTTGCCCAGTGAGCGCGTAAAAAGCGATTGGGCGTTTGCGATAATTAAAGGCAATTATTAATGCGAGTGCGGACGCCGGTCTGCCAATTAAGCCCAAAACTGGAAAGCCAGAGCTTCAGATACAGATACGGATTCGAATTCAACTTCAACTCCTTGGCAGCAGTGCCTCTTAGACTGTCTTCGTAGTTGTATCTCCCCTCTCTGTCTGCTGCTCCACCTATCTCGCTCTCACTCTCTGGGCCTTGACAGTTGTCGATTTGGTTAACTTGGTTGTATTTATATTTTTACCCGCACGCAACGTGTTTTTTTTGTTTTGACCAAAATCTAATCGCGTTTTTTTTTTGGTTTTTCTTGCAAATTTAGGCCAAAGAAAAAGTCACCGTTTCGGGCGGAAAAGTTATGTTTGTATTTATATTTCAAATACGATTTTAGGTTTACGTTAGGTATTTGAAATTTTATGATTAAAAAGGTAGTTTCTACGATATTTTGCCAATCCTATATTTTCAAACGAATAGTATTCATTTTGGTACGCACTCACAGTTTTACATCCACTAAGCGGGAATGACTACAGAGATCACAGGTACTTTATAATGTTAAAATGATTGTATTTCACTTTAATTCACTGTTTTAATGAGTTTAACTATTATGTTTGAGGTTTGTTGTATTTTCCTCTTAAAATGGAATGCTGTTTTTATGTATTTCTCGTTGTATTTTTTCATTTATTTAATGCAAATTTCGCAAGCAAAATAAACACATTTTCTAGCTCTTGTTGCCGTGGGCTCTCTATTGTTGTTTTAGCAATTGTTTCTCGGTTGGCTATTTAATTTTTCGCCATTATCTTGGGTAGTCCGCTCCCCGATTTTCGTCCGTCCGTCGGCTCCAACGTTGCGAATCACACTGAGGCTAATGCTCTATAGTCGCAACTCTGGAGTGCACTCACTCTCACACTTAAGCGAATAAATATATATGTGAAGTGGGGATTGCTCCACGAATTAAAATAAACTGTCGAATCGAAATGCGTTTGATAATAGACCCATGGGAGGGGGAGTTACGGAGGAGGCGGACAGGCGACAGCTTGATAAGATAATGCTCCATAATCGATTAAAAGTAAAAAGCTGCGAGAGGAGCAGACCTCACTCACTTCTTTCTTTACTTTTCCGTTCAAATTATACTCTTATTATTATTCGCTCAATTTGTGTTATTATTCGTATCTTTGCTCAACACTTAATTTGCGAGCGAATCCAAATCATTTGTGGACATCGATAAGATAACAGAGCAGATAATTTTCTATATTATAGTTGTTTGATTAACGTTATTTCCCCTCTTTAAATTTTTTTTTCGTTTGTTGTTTAATTTAAAAATAACTATATTTTTTGGATTTTGTATTTGTTAAGCCCTTTTTGGCCAAAAATTATATTAAGTTCCCTTTCCAAATACTTATCCATCCTTTTTTCTTTCTTTCTTCAATACTTTTAAATGGCATGCATTTATAAAAATCATGTGGTGTACGTCTAAGATAAATACACTTGTCTGTCATTTTTATGTCAGTGATTTATTTATCGAGTCTCGGCTTAACGTTACTTTTCTGCTTTTTTAACACGACTATTTAAATGCTGTCTTTGTCTATCAGTTTGCAAACTTTTAATTTGCGATTTCATACAAATCATGTGTGTCCAATCGATAAGGTATGATATTCAGTCTGTGATCTTTTTTTATAAGATTTATTTGTGCTTTGACCGACGTCACCGCTTTTCGTTATCTGAAAATCAGCTTTAGTTTCATCGACTTGATATATGGACTTAGTTTTTTTGGGGGTTCGGGATCAGGTACAGGTTCGAGATCGGGTTGCAAAAATGCAAAATTTGTCAAAATTAATCAAAGCTGCACAGGATTTCACTCTCAATAAATCAACGCACTGCGTCGCAGAGGGAAATAAGGGGAAAACCGCCTGCCCTCGGCTGGAAAATGGCTGTGGAAATTGCGTGCGACAACTGCAAAATGCAAATGGGACTGCGAAAATGCGAAAACGCTCAAACATGTTCATACACCGACTGACCAGGGAAAAAGTGAGAGTGAGTGTTGACTGCCAAACACGTTGGCTATTCGGAAACCTCTGGGACAACATTGATAGGCGGCGACAAATGATGGGAGCACCTCGGCGGGAGATATACCATATATACTCCTCCATCCCCGTTGGATTTCCCACACCCACTCCGCACTAAAAAACCCAATGCCCCAGCTTAAATTACACACCATTACGCTCAGCAAGTTGTCAGCTTCGCATGTTTTACCACCGCTTTTACACGCACAAAAAGTGACCACAAAAAATCAGTTGAGAGAAATTTGAAACGACGCACGCAAACAGCTAAATCAAATCTGGGGGAGGGGGTCGCAGTGGGACCACCGACATCGATCGATTTGATAGGCCAACGATCGATGGATCAAACTCATAATCGATCATGTGTGATAGCTGGCAAAGCTACGAAAGAAACTTGGGTACAAGTAGAAATAAATAATCTAGAACAGTCACTAATTGGTAAAAGGAGGTACCCCGCGGAACCATAGATCATAACCCTATCAAGAGAAAGTTTTCCGAATTTTCCCGTCGAGTAAGAAGCTTAACTCAGATGGCTTCAGTTTTCCTACAATTTATGATACCAAAGTCCATTCGATGAGTACGATTTTAAAGAAGAAATTGAGTAAAGACCATTTTCTCAATGGTGTTTAAGTAAATTTGATCTCTGTTAAGTCTCTTAGGATTTCAACTTAACACTAGTTGATTGTTCATAAATGTAATATTAAAAGGTTTATGTTTTTTTACTTCCGATTAAACTTAGTTTGATTACTAAATATCTTTCTACTGTCTTTATAAGCATTTTGCTATTTTGCTACTAGAATTAGTCAAATAAAATAGTGCCGACCATTAATCATAATCACGCTGATACGAAAAAACGGCACTCTATGTTAATGTCTCAATCTCATTAGCAGGAAGTGCAACTTCCTTCTTCCCATCATATCGCTGTTTTATGGCTTACCTTGGCTGGGGAGGCGAGCAGGGATGCCGACAAGGTGGCGTTGCTGCTGCTGGCCTGGGATTTGGAGGACTTGGCCGACTTGGCCGGGGATCTTGGTGGCAAGTGGCTACTGGCCACCGTTTCAGCTGGCCACACGCTGATGTTGCAGATGTCCGCGCGGCTGTAGAAACTGTTGCTCATCTGGGGGAGAAAGGAAATGCAATTTAATAACCATTTCAAGTCCCTGACTTTGTCCTGTGAGTGGCAGGTGTCTATTTTTACTTTACTATAAAATAATTAAATTATATTTACAAAATTTAATTTAATCCTAAGATATTTCCCAAGCCAAAAACTGTCAAGCAGGCAGTACAACTATTTTTGATCAACCTGAGCTGCATGTCGTTTACCCAGGCTGTGGCTGTCCCTTTCAATTGTTTCGTTTTTTCCGCCTCACGTCGGCCTGGGCTTCTTTTCATTTGCCTTCAATGAAGAAATAAATCACACGTTTCCCAGTTAATTTCGTACTTTCCCATTTTTGACGTGCTCCGCTCAATTTCCCGAGCGGCGGCGATCGTTTTTCCTGGACCTGGACCACGACATCATGCCATGTCGGTAGTCATCGATCGAGGTTTTCAGTCTGCTTAGTCTGCCGTTTTGGAACGGCAGGAGTAGTCAGTCGGTCGGTGCATGATTCGCTTTCATTAACCCAACTGCTTAATCATCCGCCGAGGTTTTCCATTTATTGAAAACTCTATGCCCGGCACCCAGTTCCCCAGACATACATAGATAGATCCAAACCCAAAACCCAAACCTGATCCGGCCCCTTGGATTTACGGCAAACAAAACTCTTTTATTGACACAAGTCACAGACATGGCCACTAGACTTGAGCACTTGGCACTTGACTGACTGTGGGAACTTGTCCAATAGTCGAGAGGACCGAACCAAACCGAATCGAGCTCGATTTCTGGTGCTCCACAAATGGCGGCGTTGCCCAGTGAAGGTTCTCAAGAGTTGTGCGAAAGGCTAGACCAGCTTTTAAAGGGATGCCTCTTGTTGTGAGACTTGCTTGGGAAAGTGATCTTTATTAGATTTCATTTTAAATTTTAAATGTAATGGAGTCATGTGGAGAACAATATATTATTCACTTTATATAGTAGCTTTTTAATGATATTTCCGTACTTGTTTTTATGAATTTTTTTTTAAAAACTATTCTTTACTGTTCTATTGAAGGTCTGAAAATGTTGATCCTCGATTGATTCCAATAGTAATACTGCATTTTCCCCCCTACAATTCACTCCCATTTATAAATCCGAAGCCATCATCTTTATGACAGGTCCCCATATATATCTACGAAAAACTCACCTGCTGAGACTTGCCGGCGTTTCCATTCGCCACATCAGCAGCTGTCTCATCGACGCCCATCTTGATCTTGGCCAGATCCTCGGCGGCAGGGACGGCCTCCCCCTCGTTGTTGTTTTGCTGCTGCTCATGTTGCATGTTGCTGTAGCAATTGTTGTTGCTAATGACGTGTCTGCCATCGCTGGCATTGCCATTGATTTGGAACTCCATCTGCATCTGGGAGTGCGAGTGGATCTGCATCTGTAGCTGGGTGACTCGCGAGGTGGCCGAGGTCTCCGTGAGCCTGCCGTTGGAGTTGGAGTTGGAATTCGAATTTGAATTTGAATTAGAGGAGGAGCAGGCGCTGCTGCTGTCGTAGTTGCTGCTGTGCAATGTTGCTGTCGCAGTCGCTGCTGCCGCGGTGGTTGTGGTGCTGACCAGAGCCTCCTTGTTCTCCTTATCGGAGTCGTCGCTGGGCGGGAGTGGTCCACCCGTTGCCGTGGTCGAGGAAATGGCCGTGGACTGGAGACCATCCACAGTCGATGTGTTGGCTGCCGCTGTGGCAGTGGATGTTGCAGTTGCTGTGGCAACTTCCAATGTTTCTGCTGCTGTCGCCGTGTAGAGCCAACCTTCGTCGTCGTCATCCGTTGAGGCATCAGCCGATTTCAGTATCTATATGTGGTGGTTGGAAAGGGAAGGGAAAACGCAATGGAACATTAAAATCAGTGGTAACAAAATTCGCCAAAGGAAAAGCCAACCGACGATGGAGATGAAGTGGTAGAAAATGAAGTTTAATTAGCGTTACTTGCGCAAAATGGCAAATTGTTCGGTGCCGGTGCACTGGCAACTTGCAACTTGCAACGCGATATTGCCGCTGCTGCTGCTGCACATGAGCAACATCTTTGAAACTTCATTCGGTTGCCGACAACAACGCCTTCTCTCTGACTTCTCTGACTTGTCTGACTTTTCCAACTCCACCGACTTCGCTCCTTTGTCTTTCTGCTGGCAATTTATTTCCATTTCGAATGGTGACGACCTCAGCAGTTGTCAAATGTGGGAGGAAGACTGAAGAATCGCGGGGGGAGTCCCGAAGAATCGAAGGAGGCGGAGTAAAGAAGTTGTGGAGAAGTCGCAGACAGACAAACAAACAAATTAAGTCTGAACGTTGTCAAGTTAAGTAGAAGGTACAAGATCTTGATACCATTAAATGTAAAAAGTTTAAACTTGTTTGCATGTTTTTCCTTTTCCTTTTATTTTGTTTTGATTTTTTTCAATAATTTGAGCTAGACCTTTTCCCTAAATAAAGCTCTGCCCTAAAAAGAGCTTTTACTTTTGTTTTTCGACTTCTTTTGATCTTTAAACTATTTCTTTTGTGTTAGATGATTAATGATCAAGTGGCTGATGGATCTGGGATTAGTTGATAATGAAGACTACCGAATAATAGAATACAAAAGTTAATTAAGAAATGGTTAGGCATGCCAAAGAACTATGAATATTTTTTTGTAATTTGTTCGTTAGGTTACAGACATCAAAAATGGCAAACTATCGATACATGCTAATTAGTTGGGTTGGAAAAGAGTCTAGGAGAATAAGTAGAGACCCTCGTCCCATGATGAACGTGTGACCCCATCACCTCGGCGAGCGAAACGAATGCCACCGATGATCCGCTGATATGTCTGACCCGTAACCGAGATCCGCCACCAGAGAACGGTACTTACGTCGCCACCAGCTCCTCCGTCTCCAACTCTCCGCCGGTGGATCAGGCACGGATCATCCTCGCTCTGGAGATCACTGCCCGCCGCATTCCCCTGCTCGTTGTCCGTGTCCAAGTGCTTGAAGTAGAAGATTGCACAGTTCTTCGACTTGCGATTGGATCGGTTGAACTTGGAGGTGTCATGATGACGCGTCTTTCGCAGTCCCAGCGGCGACTTGTTCAGCTCGTGACCGAGCCCGTGACTCAGTCCGTGACCGTGACCATGACTGGTGTTCCCATGCGAATTGGGTGTGATTACCGCCACGGCTATGTTTTTGTTATGCGCCTTATTGGGCAGCATTTTGTTGCCAATATTGTGATGATGTCGCTGCTGCAGCAACGAGTTGCTGCTGTTGATATTGCTATTACTGCTCTGGGGCATCTCTATGAGGTTGAGGACCCTTCGGGTAATTCCCGCCACCACAGGCAATCCTCTCCTGCTCAGCTGCTGCACCTGCTCGAAGTCACTGCTCTCCGAGTCCGCCTCGAAATCCGTCAGGGTGGCTGCCCCACTGGGATTCGGGTGGTGATTCGCCTGTCTCCACGATCGCTTGGCAATCAGGAAGTCCACCACGTCGGTGCCTAGATCGGGATCCTCGTCCTCCTCCTCTAGCTCCTCATCGGCCTCATCGCCGGGCTGAATGCGAGTCAAGTGTTTGGAGGGTTGGATAAGTGTTAAGTGGGTGACACAAAGGGGAAGTGGGTCGGGCTTTCGTGGGATTCACACACTCGTTTAACACGTGCTCTCTGCCGCTCAAGTAGTGCCAACTAAGGTTTGGTTTGGGTTGTTCTTGGGATATGGGAATGCATGAGACTGACCAAAAAAGAGGATCTATCTATTAGTATTAGTCTATGTTTCGCGTCATAACTCCCGAACTAGGAAAAAATGTTGGTAGTGGTCAATGTCTAACAGTCATAAGGTCCAACTACTTCTAGTGGGAAGAGATTTTTTAATAAAATTGAAAACAGTTTCGTTTAATTTTCGGTTATCTTGCCAACTAGACTTATTCAAGAAAACAGACATTACTGCTTTTAAGAGCAGCAGAATATATTTTTTCCTTTAGTGGTTTTTGATGATGTCCAAAAATATTTATAAAGCTTGGTATCCTTTTTTTTGATGATGCCCAAAAACATCAACGTGTACCCGAGTTGGCCAGATCATTTGCTAAGTATTCTGTTTTTCCTTTTATGGTTCTGGGGTTCTGGGATAGCGTATTTTTGTGGGTTATGTTCGTTTTGGTTCTTTGGTTAACTTGAGCTGGGGGTTAGGATAGGTCAGGCTCAGAAAGTTGACAATACTGTGGGAGGCGGGGGCATGCAACTAAACTAACAACACAACAAAACGACAAGTCAAACAGTAACTACATACAGGATATGCAAATCATTCAGAGGAAAGGGGGATCAACCATCCACCATGGGATGACTTACCTTTTGAGGTGCAAGACAATCGCGTGGCTGATCCGCTGACAGGGACTCCGCTTGGGATGGGATTTGCTGGGATGGCGAATGGGACTCCTCATCCAGGCCACAGACAATCTGGGTGGCTGCAATCTGGCAGCGCTGGAGGATCAGTTCCGCGGGGGTGGCCGACTTGGGTTCGCTGTTCTCCAAATCCAGATCCGAGTTGACCTCGTTCAGATCGTCCTCGGTGGCTTCGCCCTCGTAGCCGAAGGAGTCGTCTTCGGTGTCCTCCTCTTCGTCCTCGTCGTCATCCAAACCATTCTGCAAGAAAGGAGAAAATTAAATCTAAGATTTGGTTTCTTTTTCGGATTCAATGAAGTTGTGAATATAAGCAACACTTTTTAATTGGACAACTTGTGTGATCTTGATCTTTCCATGGCCGCTGCTACCTGGGAAAATTGCCAGGCCAGGCCAGACCAGTCCAGTCTCCTTTTCATTTGCTCTTCCTGTTTCCATCACGTAACACTCTTCCTCTTTCATATGCTGGCTAAAATTATAATTGCTTTCAATTGTCGACACACGAAGCTCTCGCATAGGAGATCAGCGGGTGGACACAGACAACAGACATCGGACATCAGACAGGCGGGCAAACAGACAAATGGACAGAAAAGCAGCTACAGAGACAGTGAGACAAACTGGCAAGCACTTGGCCAGACAGATGTCAGATAAGCCAAGAGGCGAGAAAAAGTGTATATATACCCTCTCCGAATGTTGTGTTTTCACTGGGGTCTTTCCAATCTACGGATATTTATCATTTCTTCCAAAAAAATTTAGGGTTCTGTCAGCAAATCGTTCAATACTAGTCAAACACCTTTTTTAATAATTATTAACTTGATATTATTATTATTATAATAAGAGTAATCAAATCTTCGTGTCTTTTGGTTTTCTCCTTTACATTTTCCTTTTCTTTTTTTTATGTCCACGCCCACACAAGTGAGAGGCGGCGGTGGGCAGCCGTTTGAAGAGGCCTTGATGGCATTTCAAAAGTGTTTCGCTTTTTACCAGAACTGTTGGGGAGAATACGCCCCTTGGCACAACCTTAAGTGACCTTGGTCTATCCGCAAGTGCTCCCCTTTTCCCTCCCGAGGCGCTCTGAATTACACACAAATGTTGTCTTAACACTCCATAAAATAAAAAACTAACGAAATTCCACAATTAACCCAAGAGACCTCACCCCTGACGATCAGCAATCAGCTGTGGAATGGCTTTTATGGCCATCAGATGTTTTAGCTGGGCAATTTAGTGTGTTCGCCTTTTCGGATTTGCGTAATTTTGTTGTTCGGGTAAATGTTTCTGAACAAAATCTAGTGGAGGCCGCCCGAAGGTCGCTCTGAACATCCGAAGAAGCTTGTTCTCCACGGACGAGATGAAGCAGATTATGTGGCTAATTGTCCAGATGATTTATGGACGGGAATTGCTTATACACCTCTTATATGGCGCCATTTGATTGTTTTTGTTTATGGTAAACAGTGCTGGATTCCTCGAACAACAAAGAGTTGAAATGTGTAAATGGACCAGGCCATCCCAAGTGTTGTAAATAAATAGGGATGTGAAAGAGGGCCAGACAACCCATCAAAGGTGATGGGCGGTAAACAAAAAAGTGGGCCTGCGAAATAGCGCAAAGCCAATCTATGAAATTTTATCTTTTTTAGGAAATCATCGAATAAGAGTTTTAACTCTTAATCTCAAAAGCATCGGCCTTTGTTAATGGTTTTAAACCGAATCAGTCGCTGTTATCTATTGATGATCAAGGAATTAATTTGTATCTTTCTATATCAGTTCCATTTCATCAAGAGGAAAATATTTTTACTGATCCATCAACAAATTATTTATTTCCCCGCTTAGTCTGATCACTGATAAGTTATCCCTCTTTTTGACCATCTGTATGCGATCTGGTTTCTAAGCTTTCTCCAAATTAGCATAGCACCCGCATTCTGTGACGCAACCTGTGATCAACCAGTCTCTACAGGTTTACGCTTTCATCTAATATATATATCCAATCTCTTAACCCAATGAAAAACAAATTAGGTGGAAAAACTCCGTTGACAAAACGGTACAAGCTGAGAACCGACAAGTTTAAGCCAAGAAATCCCTAAATAATCTGGTTAAAGAACCGCAGACTACCCACATTGTTGGATGGTATACACATATATTTATGTTCTTATTATGCAAAGTCTGTTCTTATTATAAAGCAAAGATGATTACAGAACCTAGACAACCATCAAGTTTTGGACACGCCTTCCACTACCATTTAGCTGGAAATTAAGTTCATCTCGACGCACTTCAGCAGAACTCTTGCTTTAAAAGAAAAACCAAAAAAAGAAAGAGGGGGAGAACGTGTCGTGCCAGTCGCTTAGCACCTCGTTTACACTCAGATCTTTTTCTCCTGGAAAATCCCCATTTAGCCCCTTAGGTTCTCATACCGATTCCGATTCAGATCTCAACACGCAATTTCTGGCCATGTCACAATTTTCGTTGTCACTTCAGCGACTATAAACCAGAGCGATAACCATCGATATCTTCCTACCAAAGTGTGGGAAAAACTCCAACAATTGCTACTGTCTTTCTATGCATTTCATTTGAAATTATGAATTTCTCACGCGCCAGCGATTAATTATCGTTAAACGCCGGCATATCGTCAATATCTGGTTATTGGAGGAGAAGGTATAGAGGCTATATATGTACAGGTCTTCATTAGCATGTGCTTGTATGACTGTAATTATCGTGCAATAAAAACGTGAGTTGCATTCGTCAGACTTTGATATTTATTTTCTATTTATGCCGGACTTTTCGTCGGAGATATCAAATGCAAAGCGGTGAGTTTATGAGGTTGCTTGGGGAGTTGATCGATGGGTTCGGTAAAGCAAATGAAGAATAAAAGTGTTTTTCAGTTTTTAGAGTCATCAGGTTTATGGAGAGAAGATTACGTAAATGGTTTTGTTTATTATAGGTTTTGAAGGTCTTTTAAGCAGTCTTTCAAACATTTATACCAATAAAGAAAACCAGCTAACTAGAATATTTGTGGGGATCTTTAGTGTAGTAAATGTATTTTTGTTTTGTAAGATTAGATACCAAAGTCACCAATTATTGTTTTAATACATGACTTCCCAACGTCCCTCTTTTTTTGTAAACTGAGCGAAATTTCACAACAATTACTCAATTCGGCACAAAACATTCAATGAATTTTAATCCAGCGGTGACAACGGCAACAACGGCGACAACAGCAACAACATTGCCGGCACAGCAGCAACTCCAACTCGATTCCGAGGGGAAAAACTCTGCGATGGCGCGACAAAATTGCAGACACAAAAACACCAACAATAACAATAACATCGGCTGGAGCAACAACATCGCCGCGTTGACAACCCGCACAGACAACAACAATTGGCAAGCCAGCAACATGAGCAACATGAAAACTTCCAAGTCATATGGAAAACGGGCAACATGCAGCACCACCAACCACCCCCTCGCCATGCACCACCCCCTCAAGCAACAACAACAACCCACAGCAACGACAATATTATTACTTTCATTGTTGTTGCTGGTGTTGCTGACGTACGGCAAACATTTCCTGGTACAGCAGCAGCTTGGACGTCTACAATTTAGCTCAACTATTACAAATCGCATTAGATGCTAAATTTAGCAAAGCAGAGGAAAATGCAAGCATTGAAGTCGCTGCATTGGTCGGAGCAGCAACATCAGCAGCAGCAACTGATGTTGCTGGCGTGCAGCAACGTGCAACTTCGACAGGCCGTCGGCCATAGTTTGCATATTTTCACTTCAGACCCCTGCCAATTCTCGTTCTCGGTGTCTGACCCTAATCTGCCGACAGTGCAACATGTTGCCGCAGAACTTGGGGCACTATATAGACCGATCCGACGTGGGTGTTGCCCACGCCATCTGGCCCACGCAGGGAGATGCTAATGCCCGATTCCTGGCCACGCAATTGCTCATAATTTGCAGGTTGCTGGCGGGCCAGCGAATGAGCTGCGGGAGGTGTACACCCGAAACATACTCTGTTTCAAAAATGTTAACTTGATACAGAAAAATGCAATTTCTCAAATACGTAAGAAACTATCCAAATTGTTATATAGTTTTAATCATTACAACCTAGCAATGTCATTGCATTTAGTATGATATGATACTATGTATATGATTTAAATACATTTTAGTTACGGTGTAGGAAAACATTTTAAGGTGTTGCCGGCAAAATGAAAATGAAATATTGACAATTGGAGGCGAATTTGATTCGATGCAAAGTGGAAAACAAAGGCAGGCAAACAAAAGTCGCAAGTTGACATTTGGCAAATGTCAGTTTGAGTAAGGTTGCTGGCAGCACAATAAATCGCATTTGAAGATGTCGCAGTTGCCGTTGCGCCACACGACACCACAGCAACATGTTGCCGCTGTGAGGCGATGACTGCTGCTCTCTTTTGCTTGCATTTCCCATTGTGATGTCCCGCCAAACAGGTGTGGGATAACTATTTTAAGTAAAAATTTTTATATTTTGTCCCGAAGCCAGTTAAGAAAAAAAATTCGCATTCCATCGATTTACTGACAAATCCGAAATCATGTTTTCCCAGATACCGCTTGGTATCGGTCAGACAGACGGACATGGCTAGATCGGGAATATATATACTAAATAGGGTCGGAAACGCCTTCTTTACCGAGCTCGAATACCATATTATCTTTTGTTCTAAAAATGGACCCACTTTCCCAACTATCGATCGATCTGTATGGGATTGTAGCCTGTTTAACCAACAGCTGCTGGCAATTTGCTTTTCTTGATCGTTTATTGTTGTTATTCTGGCTTTTCTTTATGGCTTTCCCTGGCGATCATAAATCATTGGCCCAGGAAGCCAATGTGTGCGATCACAGATCGAATCAGATCACAAATCCCCAATCTTATCCGTGATAATACGATACTCCTCTATCAGACTGGCATTAAATAATGAACCATTTATGGTGGATTTGATCATTACAGGGGGGTAATTGAAAAGCTGGAGGAAAAACAAGCTCTTAAGAAAGAAACCCCAACGAATATGAAGCCAGCAATCTGTCATTATCTAAGCCAGAAACTAGAGCAGCGAACGGTTTTTGCCTAGTGTGTTGTATTATAAAACCATTTCGGAGCCACCCAATTTTTTTGCGGTTGCCAACATTTTTCCTTTTTTTTACGTGGCCAAGTTTTTCTGTGAGCCTGTTAAGTTTTTATTTTTCTAAGAGAAGCATGAGATAAAAACATAACCATACCAAACATCAGAAAAAATTCAATTGTTTTTCTTCCGCATTTAATCGTAAATTGTGGGTGTGCCCACGCCTTGTTTTCCCCGATTTTACATAATTATTGTGATTTAATTTGTACTGCTTTCCGGGACACAACCTGCAACCTGCAGCTAGCCACTTGCAACATGTGTAAGCAATCAACATGCATAAATTGCAGTTCCGATTCGATTCCGACGTGACTGCCAGTTAAATGACTAACCACTCCCCTCCACCTCCAATTGTCAATTATTATGCGATTTGCATTCACTCATTTTAAAGCCTCGTTTTGTGGTTCACAAAAGATGGAGAAAAAACCAAAATTTGCATATTTCGTTTTCAGTTTTTTCTCCATTTTTTGGGGTGTGGACTTGCAGACTGGTAGCAAAATTGAGGATTGATTTATGTCGGTATTTGATTGATGTCTGCTGGTTAGCAAAGCCACTTTGTTGCTGCACTGATGATGGAGCCAATTAAATTCATAAATATTTTGATTGTACACCATTGACGGACGCTAATTGGTACATGGAAATGATGACCAATTAGTAATATTAGAAAAATGATGACAGCTTCAAGGCCCCAAGAAGATAACTTGATTTCCGCGCATGTTCTCCCACTCCCACTCCCAAGATCATTTCCCTTTCAACCAACAGATGTTTCCCAGCCTCCAGTTCAACCTTCAACCCGTTCGAAAAAATCCACAGCCAAAGGTCTTGTGGTCTCAGTCTGCTAAACAAACACAATTTCCCAAGAATAAACAACATAATCCCAGAGAAAAAGTGGAGGTTCAGGCGGGATATAATAACAATAATAACAACAATAATGGGGCATAATTCAATGCAATTCAACTGCATTTGTTTATCGAACTTGCCGCGGCCGTCACTTGCAACATGTTGCCAGAGAATAAGTGTGGGAAAGAGGTGGAAAAAGATGCAACAAAGGAAAACTAGTTGGAAAATACATACCATTAAGAAAAAAAGATTATAGTTTTAAGCAGGGAAAGACATTACAAAAATACATAGGTAACTAAATAAATATATATCTCGTAAAACATTTAACGTCCAATAGGGTATTTTAAAAATCGGTCAAGCAACCCATCCTTTTTCAGTTTTTTTTTTCTTTTTATTTTCCAAAGTTCAGGCACGTCGTAAATTTGATTTGGTTTATTTCCATTTGCCCTGCTCTGCTCATTTCGGTCACTTTCATTTGGTTTCGGTGCTGATTTTCGAGCTGATTTCGAAGTTTACCGTCTTGCCGTTGACTTCTCTGAACTCTGCAGTTGAGGGCGCATAAATTCAACTTTTACTTTTCGCAGTTTTTGATTTTTATATTGCCTTAGATATAAATACATTTCTTTATGGCAGCTACTTAAAGTTTAACCCCGCTGATGAAGAAGCGGGGAAATTGTTGCGGGGCGAAAAGCCATTGAGTAAAGCAAGCCGTGAGTTTATTACGACATTTGGTAAAATGGGGCACCGAAAGAAATAACTGCAGTAGAGGATCAGATCATGGCTTGAACACTCATAATTGGGTATATAAATAAATTGGTAGTGATAATAAAATAATGCCACAGAAACACTAGGGTTTTGGTGTGTAAAAGTATGCAACAATATGTTTTGTGATCGACAGATTTACTCCGAAAGACCAAGTTCTTTTTTCCTGCATACTTTTAGATGTCTTTAGAAATATTTAACTGATAAGACAAACTATTTTTAAACTGAATTTCAAATCCCTAGTGATTTTCTTCAAGTGCAAGCACTTGTGACATTTCCGTCTGTCCCTAGTTCGGTTCGCTATTTGGTTTTTATAGCAGCCGCCTTTCGTTTGAAGTCTTGGCATGGCTTGAATGGCCGGCTAATCTCCTCTTGGCCAGAAATTGGATGCATGGCAAATGTAGAGCAGCGAGTTCCCCCGCGGGCAGCCCCAGCTAAATGTGGCCAGGAAAGTGTTGAAAATTGCCAACTGGATCGGCCCACATAGAGATTGGTCATGGACGGATCCCCAAGGGGGATGCAAATTATTGCATCAGCTAGTCGGTGGAAAATGAAATTGTTTCTGCAACAACTAGGAAAATCCAAAGAGGCGGAAGGGGTGGATAAAAGCCCGCCCGAGGCGCAATCAAATGAAGCGGTTCGCAAAACAAAAAAAAGGTTTACTGCCCCACAGCCGGAGGTCTGATGATAGGTGCGGGAAGAAAGCCTAGAAGACTCTATGTGTGTGGGTCAGAAGACGCCTCTTCCAGTGCGTGTCTCGAATGAATTATTTACCAACTGAGCTCGGGCACGAGGCCAGAGCATTTTGCGCTTCCTACTCCGCAAATTACCCACAATTAAGACGGGGTGCATGAAAAACGCTTTCCAATTACCAGGCAAAGAGAGGGGCAGAGAACTTTAACCAGGAAACGTTTAGAGCTCCAAGGAGGATCCATCCATCTATCCACACCCGATGGTAGGAAACTGGGTCAACGTGTCTATAAGGCGAAATTGACTTTCACTGGATTTAAACACGAAACGGATGCCACAAGAGGAACAGAATAGATTGGTGAATTACCAGGGGCATGGTATTAACAGATCCATTATGGTAGAGGGAAGGAAGTGCGGATCATAGGGGGATCTTGAAACTTATCTTCGGAAAAGCTTCATTTTTAGAGTTTTGCCTAACATAGCCGTTCATTATATTCTATTTTTAACTTGGTAAAGAAACATCATCCTAAAGCCTTCTGAAGAAAATTCTAGCAATTTCTTTTTCTTACTTCTTAATAACTTTTACTGGAACATTCTTTACTTTCAGTTCCGTCATCTTCCCAACGAACAGGAACCAACCAGACACACCTTGCCATACCAAAAGCACACCACCCAGGCGAAACTCTTTCATCTTTCTCCCAAGTTCGTCTCACTATTCAATTACACTGCTCTGCACTTCAGCGCTTTCCCAATACATTTTTTGTCGCATTGCCGGCATTTTCACTAAATGAATTAATTAAATCACTCGCAACCGAGTTATACAAAAACGTAATTAGAAATTTCCACAATTGGCAATGCGATGAGGCGATGAACGGCGGACGGACGTGCAGGGAAAGCGGCGCCAAATGCATTTTCTTTCTTTCCAAGAATCCCTGGCATCTCGACGAATGCTTTTCCCTTGCTGGCTGGCTGGGAGTTTTCTTTTTTATGGCCAACCAGCAGATAATCCAAAGTGATAAAAGTCGAAGACACGCCAAGGGCAATGCAGAGGTTATTTTTGGAAAATCCCTAATCGATTCAAGTTCATGTAGATAGGCCATAAATTAGTGTGATATATAGGGATATATGTTGGGTGCTTTTCGGTAGAAAGTATTTTTAAGAAGATAAAATGAACATACCTACTTTTTCTATTTTATTTAATTTAAAAAAATACTAAAAAGTAATATATATTTATAACATAATCCTTAATGGAAACTAATCTCAGAATAGTTGAAGGGATTTCCCGATAGGTATTTTTACAAAGTCTCTGATTGGTTCAAGTTCCCATAGATGAGCTTTAAACTAGTGTGCTGTTTATATATTTATGTAGTTTTTCATAACTTACCGCTGTGGAACTGCGTTTCCTAAGCAGATTATCCAGACACAATTGAAGTTCGAAAGCCTTCAGATACAACAGATGATAGCGATCCCTTAGTCGCTCCAAGTTTCCCTCCCCCTTCTTTGATGGGTGGTGGGTGACTGTTGGTGGTGGGGCAGTTTGCGTGGTTCCTATGGGTGTGGTCACCGGATCGGAGGAGGCGAAACCACTGCTCAGGCTGCTCGACTTTGTGGCCGAGTCGCTGGTTGACTCACTGGAGCAGTTGCTGGTCAATGAGGCGGGTTGCTGACTCGACAGTTGCTGCTGCTGTTGCAATTGCAATTGTTGCTGCTGCTGCTGTTGGAGTTGCTGCTCCTTTTCGGCGGCTCGAATGCAAGAGCTCACCACTCGAGCGTGTGATACAATTTCATGGTACAACACCTGGAATCAAAAAGAGAGCGCACACAAAAAGGGAAATTAAAAAGGTGTCCGTTGAATTCAGCTTATGTGGCTAACATGACGTATACTTGATATGCCCAGGCGGCTAATTGATTAGGCAAACCAGGAGGGAAAGGAAAGGGATTGGGACTGGGGTGAGAGAGAAAGGCTTGGCTGGCCGTAAAGGATATGGTTACAGAGTGTGCCAAACCACATTAAAGTCATGTAGGATAAATGGTTTTTAAATAATATATTTTCATTGCTGAAGGAAATTATATATCCATTCAGAAATATTAATTTTTTTGGGATAAAGTCTTCTGGCTCTTCAAGCTAGGCGTATACTCACTTAGTGAGTATTCCTATCCAGTACAATCTTAAATTCTTGCTGCATCTAACTTTCCCCTCCGTTAAACGAAAGATCTCAGTGCCACATTATCTCCAAGATATTGCCCTCCCCTCTCGAACATTTTTCCAATTCCTGCAACAGCATTTACCGCCCATCTGCAGCGATATGGCATCGCTCATTTGTCATTTTAACAGCTGCCGGGCCTTGGCTCTATCCCCATTGAACCCCATCCGTATCTCTATCCTCCTCCAACCAAAGGTCAAGCTGGAAAAGTCCCACGCATTGCATAAGCTCTCTGCCATTGTTCCATGATTAATCACACAGAAGAGAGGGGAAAGAAGAAAGATTTTCCGCACAGAGCGATATTCAATTTATCAAACATCAAAAAAATAATTACAAGACAATTGACGCCAAGGGGTCAAAGTGGGAAAGGTGGGCGTGACACCCAGTGACACCCACACATGAGATCCGAAGAAAATCCGAGAAAAAAGCGAAGGCAGGCTGGCAGGGAAACTCCCAAGCGGGCTTCCACAATCTGGACATTGATCTCCATACAAACAGTTTAACCCCGATGAACTCTTGCATCACCGCCGACAAAATATGAAAAATCAACAAAAGGTGCACAAAAGTTGAAATTAGAAATCGATAAGTAGGGGGAAATAAGGGGGAGAGACTTTTAGAGACAACCTCTTCACCCCAAAGTGTTCGAGCCACGGACATTTATTTATGGCCCGGACACATCCTTACTCAACTCGAAGTCAAAGCCTAGAGGCCCACGAAAAGCCCAATGCAAACATAAATTTTAATTTTCACCTGTTTGAGATCTTCATTGAAGTTGCCTTTGTGGCCTCCCTTTCGACACTGGCAAATTGAAATGTCACAGAGATTGGGTCTCACTTTGGAGAAATTGCAAATTTATGAAAATGATTTCCTTGGACAGCTCTTGATTTACCTTGGGTAATGGCCAAATTGACACTCAAAGGCAGCTGCCAAAAAGAAACCCTGGCCAAGTCACCTTTTGCAACTCCACTCTGCCATTTTCAGTTTGAAGAATGATCCGAGAAAGCTACGCTGCCGCGAAAAAGATTTATGGGGAAGCCTTACCAGATCCTCGAAAACCCCCCTGCCCTGAAAACTGGGAAAAGCGGGAAAGTTTTGACAGGCTGCTTGGGATTTTTCTCCTTTTTACGGTGGGTTACTTTTACTGCCATCAAATGTTTCTGTGCAGTAAATTTAATTATATTGGGGGAAGTTAAAAGACTGATTCAAAGTTGAAGGCCTTGCAAATGTAATTGTTATATAAGTAATTTATTTTTATTACAACATTTTTCCAAATACGAGGTATAGAAAACTTACCACCTCTTTTATCGCATTTTTATAAATGCTTTTTTCTAAGAGTTATTTTTCAGCTTTTTACCCAAGCCAAGCAATTTTCTGCATCAAATTGTTTTGCATTATGATTTTTATCATTATAGCTAATTATAAGACAGCATAAACAAAAGAATTCTTTTCCAGAGGCTTGGCCCGCTTGGTTAGGTAAATAGATAAATGTACCCAACTTAACCAAGTCGAGTCATCGAATCGAAGAAGAGGGCCTCTGGCAGAGAACAAACTTTGGAAATAGTTGGGACGAAGTAAGACCTCAACGCAGGAGGAGTGGGAGTGTAGACAAAAGACCGAGGAGGATCCGGAGAGGCAGGTGTGGGCTGCTTATTTGCGATACTTGGGGCTCATTACCAGAATTGAAGACCAGCGACCGGAGAACCCAAGTCGGAGCTCGAACCCAACCCTAGTAACCAACCAGCCAAAAGCCACAACATTGTATGTCTTTTTTGGAGGAACGCCTTTCTCTTTGTTTTTTCGGTCTCGGCTCCAAAACCAAAACCAAAAGCCAAACGATCCGGGCCCAAAACTGAGGTGAACCACTCCCAATCTTGGCACGACTCTGAGGTCTCTAAGCATTGCCTTAATGCATTTGCCGCCACCCACCCACTTGAGGAGCGCTGGCTGGAAATATGAGAATTTAGAATGCAGAACTTTATGCAAAATTCGTGACTAATCTGCGCTGCCTGAACTTGAGGAGCAGCTTTTATTATTTTCTGTGCTCGAGAGTCTCGAGAGGTCTCAAGATTATTGGCAAGCGTAGGAAATAATAAAAGAAATCAGGGAAAACAAATTGAAGTCAGTGCGAAGTTCTCTAGATTGAAATCTGATGCAGAGAAAAAATAATAAAGCCAGCACGAGCGAATGGCAAGAAAAGTGAATGTGTTGGCTCACAGTGGTGTGAAAGTGTTGGAAAAAAAACCCTCAATTTCAGACAATGAGTATGCAGAAATTTTAGAAATGATTGAGAAGCCTTACAAGGATTCCCAGAAATGAAGATGGTAGGCCATTTTAATTTTAATATAATCTGTAGTGTTAAATTATTATTTTTATATTATACTTATTTCATTAGAAATTACCTTGGGTAATAAAAAATACATATTTATGGTTACGTTGAAAGACACATAATTACATTTATTTTACAGCTTTTCTTTATTGCTAAATATGTTTTTTCTTTACTTTTCCTCTTCAGCTGGCTAATTGTTTTTATATTTTTCCATCAATAGTACTCCTCATTCTTCTTTACTTAGTCATAAGAATTGCAACACATTTTTAGGCACTCAAGGTATTCACACTGTCTTCCAAAAGTCTGGCTGCCATATACAATTTTTCTGCTTTTTTTCCCAGTTTTCTTCGCGATGTTTATTCATGCGAATGTTCATCGCCCCTCGGAATCGGTCAAAATAAGTTCCTCTAATGCGATGGCTATTTTTACCAGCCGCAACTCAATAGAAACAGTGTGCTGGGCACGTCGCGTATCTATATCTCTACTATATATCTTGGATGTCTGCGACCGAGGTTCGTTGACTCAGAGACTCTTTCGATGTTGCTGCTGTAATTCGGCGTGGTTGAGAATGACCAAAGAATTGAGCAATCGGCTTTGGCTACATGTACAAAAAAAAAAGAATAAAAAGCAACAATGGCCCACCAGATCGTACATTCATTATCGGAAATGTCAGTGCGTGACCTCGACCGCGTTTTTAGAATTTTACAATTTTAGGTTTACATTTTATTGGTCTTCGGTCCCAGGCAACGCCTTCAGATATTGTCTGATTCGCCAGAGGTTGATTATGAATAGAATTTTACAGAATTGTTTAAAATTAACAAAAGACGTTAATAAATGTCTGCCACAATGGCGATTAAAAGGCTTTGAAATCACGCCCAAAACGTGGGTAAACCATATGCCCGAGAATTATGATTAATTTATTGTGAAGTTTAAAAAACTAATATCTGTAAGCATTAGCAATAACATTTGATTCTATAACATGAAAGTACAGTAAACAATATGTTTCTTGTAACGCGTTTGGCTAAAGGGTATCATTAAACATTAACAACTGCCTAGCCTAAAAACACTTTTTAAAGCGCTATCAAATCGTCATAAATCTTTTCCTAGAAGGAATCAAATTTATAGCCAATTTTTATAAGCAGGAAGCCGACAGCAACCCAAATTCCACCTAGAAATGTCTTATAGAGAACATTTCCAAGATGTCACATAAATTGGGAACGCACGAAGAAAAAATATATTGTTTCTTTTTGTACGTTTTCTTTTTCGCTGCCTTTTTCTTTTCCTTTTTTTTGCAAACATTTTTATGTGAAGTAGTCACGACATTTGGAACACTTCCAAATCGGCCTAAAAATAGAGTTCAACGAAATAGAATTAGACGAAAATCAGGCAGCGACTCTAATTACCCAAGGAAGCTGGGAGAGAGCAAAGGGAAGAGTTGATAAATGACAGGCGGAAAGGAAGAGCCAAACAAATCGACAAAGTCCGGGAAAATGAGATGATGAAGGTGGTGATGCAGTGGAGATGGGATTTTCCAGGTTGAAAGACGACCCCAAAAGTGCAATTAATCAGCTGACCCAGAAAACCACTCACAGTTCTTCAGTTTCCACCAGAGGAATTGATGTCGTCGACGTGCCGTGACCAAATGCATCGGGAATAAGCCGCTTTGAAGATCCCGAGATCTCGGGATCCCGAGAATGTGTGAAGTTAAGTCGGGAGTCGCAGTTAAAGCCCGACCTGGCCTATTGAGTAACACACATCGGACAAGGAGTTTTGGGTTAGCAGGGGGCTACTGAATCCGAGTCTAAGCACCGTTGACATAATCACGTCCGAGTGTCACGTTCAACTCTTCGCCGGCGACAAAGATGATGGCCGGAATCCCGTCTCGTCTCGCTTTTTGGCTTTGTTGGCATCACGTTCTTGGGTCGGAGCCATGGGGCCAGAGAACAAGTTTGCCGCTTTGTCGTGAAAATCTCTGTGCTCATTGTGGTCTCATTAGAAACATGTTACATGGAAACTGATTATGAAATTGCTTAACTGCCTCTGGCCGGGGCGACTTTAACTGTTTTTTCGTAATTATTTTCAATGAAATTAGGGAAAACGTTTTTTGATACGGTGTGAAAATGTTGTATCTCAAGCCGTTAGTGAAAATCATATTACGAAGAAAAGCGGGAAGGCCTTTTCCCAATACTTGGACTTTCTACTTAAGTCGAGAGAGATTTGTTCTTATAGTCTTTGTGAAATTTTGTCAAGAAATTATTGTTTTATAGT